CAAAAATCGGACTGGAAATGAGATAAAGTAAAAAAGATATGTCTGGGGGATAAAATTATCATGATAAAAAGTAATGCTGCTTTAAATTAGCGGAGAATTTTGCCGTTAATAATAAGTCACCTCAAGTCTTATTCCACACCCTGTTCACCTTAATACCTCTACTGCATCCCGCAGTAATTTGTAATTTTCGATATTTCGTCGATCCTAGTACTTCGTAAAATGTTCCATCCAAAAGAAAGCAGTTTTCCCGTTCCCTAATCAGATCCTCTCTTCAGTCACAGGCCGCTTTCACTCATCTACAAACCTTGGGGCGGCCGCAAGAAGCATGTGTAACACTTGGATCCCGATCAAGTCCTTACCAGGAACACTCGATCTTCATCGGCCAAAAGAGCATTGAGCTCCACCACAGTAAAATGCAACATCAATGTACAAGGAAATAGTGTAAGAAAGAAAAATCACTGAGTCCTTGAGTGGAATCCGAGAGTCTCAGTTTTACCGCTGACAGGTGCTATCATTGAGTTCCAGGATCTTGTCACGGAATACGACATTTTTTGGTTATAATGGCGATCAAACCTGTAGAAACAATTGCCCTTAGTTCCCATTCGGTCTTCCTCTTCCTCTTCCTCTCCTATCATTTCTTGTCAAATTCATTTCGAACATTTTTCTCCTCAACATGCAAATTTCGCCATTTTTAAGAATATTAAAAGAGGATGGAGATACAAATTCAGTAGAAGCTGACGTTCCTAAAAATGCTTGCCAGAAGTAGGGGAATTCAATTCGTCTAAACAGCATCTGTCTTCGATTGCAGGTTCACATATTCTCTATTCTGCTAAAATAAGCAATACCGAAGTAGTCTTATAGGCAATAAAGCCCCAGCAGCGGAGGCTTACATTAGCTCCATGGTTATTTTTTTAGAGAGAGAAGTAAGCAAAGAGTCATAAGCCAGGGGAGTGCTTGCGTAATCTCTTGACCGGGCCATAATTTTACTTATCATATGACCAGTACAGCGCCCGCTCACACAATCCCATAAAAACAATCATGAAAAATCTGAAGTGGGTGGGGTCGTACACTTAACTTAGGTAGGCAAGGTACAAGCCGTTCACCCCCACCCGAGTCTGGTGAATTTCCCGATAACGTGAATTCCATTTGTAGACTTAGAGTTAAAATAAATAAGAACTCGGAGAATAAGTCGCATTTTTCGGTGAATTGTGAATTTATTGTTCTGACACGACGAAATAAAGAAAAAAAATTGCTATAGAATATAATTTTTTGTACTTGTTAAACGCGCGCCCTTCGTATGTGGGAATTCGTGTCCTAATTCGGTTCGAACATATTTCCAAAATCTTAAAACTTAGTAGTAATATGATAACATTTTTATCGACTGAGTTTTGTCGGGCCAATCGGAAAAATGTTTGGGTCTCCGTCACAATAAAAGGACCTTGTGCTTGAGCTCAAGCCAAGTATTCAACTACTCCCACTCAGTCAATATGTACTTCCTAATCGCGTACGACAAATTGAAGAATACGCTGGTCATGACAGTCCCGTGGCCGTCGCACGCAATGGGAAAACTGTACTACAGAATTTGTTTCACTGAGAAAAAAGTCTCCAAATTAAAATGCCATCAGAAGATTCAGTGGAACACCTAACGATTGGGGTACCATGCTTTGACTTGCTTAACTATGAATTCGTGCCAGGTGCAAAGCAAGTAACTTTGTGTTAATGGCGGGGGCTGAAGTGAAACGCGTCATACGGGTGCACCACGTTATACGTGACAGGTCAGGTTTAGGGCCAGTGCAGACAATATGACTGGTCTATTCATCAAGAGAAGCATAATTGACATAAGGTAGCTAACTAGCTAAATGTGTTCTTCGGCACACCCAGCGCTTAAGTGTCTTTTCAAATCATATGCGGAACTTACGGAATTGTTGTTTTAAGTGCTCGTATAAAAAGTTTAAACCTGCACACGCGCCTAACTCATGCCGGCCTGTAGCGTTCGCATGCCGGCTGCATGTATAATGTCAAAGAAGTGCACAAATTCAAAACGCGAGTGTCGTGCGATTCCGGCCGCCCACGCGCGCCCCCCTGAAGTAAGCGCCATTCGAAGTACGCGCCACGCGTGTTGTAAAGAGTCATGCAACGCGACAAGCAAGCGGTCACCGGGAATTCTCTTCGACGGTTGACCATCTGAATCAAAGGATTATGCAATAAATAATTCTTGTGGTTTGCGGTGAGTGCCGAAGATTCTTCTAACCTATAGAGCTCATTTAAGACATTATATTAAGTGAAACAAATACTTTGCGTGGGAAGGCTACAAGAACGAGTTATCAACTTTCAAACAATTCCATACAATGCATTCATTTGTATAAAACTCCATCAGACGGGAACAAATTCAAAGTTTATGTAACTTTAATTCCCGCTGATGGGAACCGCTGAAGGCGTTTTTCTTACGCCGTCAAAACTATGATGCAGACTTTTATATAGTAGCAAAGGGGAGTCAGAGCGTAACAGCCTTGAACGCGACAGTCGCTTATTTTAAAATATAGAACAAAACCAATACGAAATAAGGCATCCAATTTTTTTCACTTCATCTCCTATTGAGTCCAGTTTCCTGTGAAAAGTTATCCCAAGGAAAACAATACATGAATACTTGTATAGTATTTAATGTTTGCTACGGATGTTCACGCAAGCGTATCGCAGTGAAAATTCATTACCCCAATTTCAATCCAGGAGAGTAGAAATCTTTATGAAAGAAATATGCTTGATTAAAGCCCACTAGGGGACTTCGTATTTTACTTACAACTAAGAGTCGTTTAGGCACAAAATTGTTGCTTTACAGTCAAATGTTAAGTTGAGTGCTGGCTACTGAGACGCACTGTTGAACAGAGCCTGGTGCAATATACTTAATGGTTGTACTCAAAAGACTGTGAGGGGTGAGATGTTGATAAGCAAATACTTCTATAGACTACTGAAAAGACACATAGAAATAAACACTTAAATCATTTAAATTCCCTCATACTTTATTTAAGCCAAATTGAGATTATAAGCTCAAATCCAGGCATTACCATAGCTACCATACAAGGTCTCGCCGTAATTATACCCCTTTGGGTGAGTTTTTTTCGGTCATTAAATTATCTGTTTCTTAAGATTATGCTTTGGTTCTCTACCTTACAATTTGCCAGAAAAATTTTTAATCCACTTTCTCAGACGGTTGTTCTGTGATGATCTTTTAGCTAGTTACAAACCACGTATCTTACAAAAATAAGAATGCAATACGCTCCTAAACAAAATGATCCGTCCGCTTAAATATCCAGAAGCACGTGTAAAATTAACGCCAGAGAACAAACAAACGACGTCAAACAAAAAAAATCGCCCTTTCCTAACCATTAGAATACTTGACACGATGCAATGACTAGAATATTCTCGAAGCGTCACATGAAATGATCCACCCACACACACCCCTCACAACTCAGTTGAGTGTCGTTATTGTGTCAGATAGCTCATTTGCGGTTTTCTTTTAGTCTGTTTAGGTCTCTTTATCAGTTTACTTTGTACTTAAAATCTCATCAAAATGGTACTTAATCCTTTCGCCCACGTGCTTCGTCAAGTATTGCGGTTAACCAATGTGGCTCGGACATCAAGCAAATCATCACGTGTCATGAAAAGAAGTAAATTAAAAGAGTTGGAGAAGAAAACTTTTGATTCCTTTTGACAGCTCATTTTTATAACACTAACTCCTAGCTGAAAATGGGAGTGAAACCAAGAACGTACCAAGTTTTTTGCACCTGATTAAGTTTACACAGAAATCTGCATCATAAGTGCTTCTTCCTGTTTTGATTGATATTACCAATACTAAATAACTATTAAGAGTTTTCAATCACTCCCTGAAGAAAACTTCCCTTGTTTTGAAGGAACAACTAAATAAACGAATAGCGCGCACAGACACTTCTTGGAGGAACCAAAGTAGCTGTAAAGGCTGAAATGCGATTAAAATACTTACTATGGGGGAAATTGAAACGAAATTGTTGGGCAGGAACCGGAATACGGGGGAAGTCTGAAACTAGTATTTAGACCGTAAAAAAACTGAAGCTCATAAAACAATGTATGATATTACGCAAGAAAAGAATTGAAGATTACAACAGAAAACGATGTAGACCTCACATACGTCAGAGATAAAGACATGCAGGCACGAAAGGCAGGAAATTCACAACATACTGTTTTTTTTTTTTTTCAGTTCTTCTGCTAGACATATGGTTACTGGTAACCGAATTTTGAGACAGTCTGTTCTTGGAAACTCAAAATATTATTTTTTTTCGCCAGGTATATGATAAGACAATATCGATCATTTTTATCAAAACTTATGTTTATACGAGTTAGGCAGTCTACAAAAACAATATAAAATAATATATTGTGTGTTTTGTCTTTGGTTTTTTTAATGAGTGAAATTAAAGATATCCGGCAATGAATTCCACGAGTTTTACTAATTGCAAAAACTCCAGGAGTATTCTCGTCTCGTCGAGGTTATTTACGAACTAGCAGTTGAAGAGAATTGCTGTTGTTTTATTTGTTCAAAGTTATTTTGACGATTTTAGTTACAAACAAAGTTGTAAAGAAATTATTATAAGTAACCGACGATGTACTTCTAAATTTATGAAGAACACGCAAAACATGCAGAAAAAAAACTGCTAGTGAAAGAATGAAATTAGAATCTAAAAATCAAAGCCTACAGAAATTGATACGATGAATGATCCAATGCTAAATTGACTATTACTTTTAATTACTGATTCATCTTTTTGTTCTGTAAATTTAACTTAGACGTGGCAAAGTATACCCAGCGAATACTCGGCGAATACCCGCCGGAGCTCCGGGTCTTGCTAAAAGCACTGCAGACACCAATTACGTAAGACTGATGCAATAGAACCATTTCTTCCCTAACATTGGCAGTCACAGTTCGCGTATCGTGAAAATTCAGCCAGAATTCTTCAAGTTCACTATTTGAAATCCGTTTCAATCTTAACCAGCCTTATCCATCTCCACCTGATCGTTCTCTTTACATTTCCTTTTGTACTGACAAGGAGAATTTGTTTAACAATCAGGAGCTTCTTAAATTGCTGACTATTTCCTATATTCTCATGACCTTTTTATTTGATTCAAAGGTGATGATGAAAGGAGAAATCAAATGCCAATCACTCGGGGTCAAAGGGTTCAGTAAGATAAGCACCGGTGGTCTAATGGATACCAGAGCGCTGGAGCCTGGGTTCGAGTGCAAGTTGGGATCCAGACGTAGGCGGCTAATTGGGCTGAGGTATGAGCAAGACACTATCCTCTTACAATACCCCTTTCCATCCATGAGAACAAAAACATCCGCGCTCAACTCTTCCACTGGGCCAGAGTAATTAATGCTGTAGCATCGCAGCAATATAAAGATTTCTACCATATGGCTGGCCCCAAGAGTGGGCGAATCTCGTGATCTGATTGACAGCCCAAGCGGGTAACATGAGGCTATCCTGCCCGCAACTTTTTATGTCGCAATTTCACCATCATTTCTACAAAATGTCTTCAACGTTTTACGTACAAAGCAGGTAGAGAGGTAGTCTTACCCTTACATGCAACAGGTACAGTTGTAACACGTAAGTAACTACATACCAAAGAAGAAATTGTTTAATACTTACTTGTACTACAATGAGACGAGCTTGGGCATCGCTTACGAGGCAGTGATCCTAAAAGGATGACCATTTAAGGACGAGAGCTGTTGATTCAATGACGTCATTCGTTACCATCTCATTTTCTACTTCACTGTATCTAACCTTGAACAGTATCAGTAACCGTCTGGGCTTCTCTCGTAAGTAAAGTAGCCAGTGGAGTGCTGAAAACGGTGATAAAAAAGGTTTGTAACATGACGAACTTCAGATTATTGCGAGCAATCAAGAATTCCTTGAAAATGTTTCAGAGGAACAAGTCGTTGACTTTGTTTACTAGTGATGAATATCGCCAACATTATTTTCAATGTGGAGCAAGAACTTGCAAATTTCCTCGAGAAAAAGCTTATGAGAAATTACTCTTTACGATGCTGTTACGTAGTTTGATGAATACGAAAGCAGCACTTTGAAGCACTTAGAAACGTAGAACACGAGTATCGAACTTATTCATCTTAGATTAAGCGTATCTCTAATGACTATACGGACGAAAAACTTTGCTAGTTAATTTAAATAAAGCATACCAAGTATTTATCTTCATCTATCGAATCTCCATTCCAAAAGATCGAGGAAATCCTCTCATGACACTTCAAAATGGCCGCTCAAATTTATCTTTGAATGAATAGCCGCATTGCTGTTCAACGTGGGCTCAAATTTCCCAGGTGTCTCTGCGGCATCGCCAGTCACGATACTGCTTGAAGGTTTTAAAAACATATTAACTCATTCTTATTCTGATAAACTAGTTTTATGAAGGATACAATATTTTATAACAAAAACTTGATGCATAGGCAAAAAACTTTAATTTGACTATACTTTTATAGCCAATACCAGTCCCTTCACATGGTAAAATGTTAGGAGGATCAGAGAAAAACTAAAGTGCCATACATCTGCAAGATTTGATGTAATTATTTTATACTTGGAGATCTAATAATATTTAAAAAAATAACAAAATTTGGTTGAAAAATTAGAATTCCGCACATGGCTGGATAAACAAAATTCTCAGAAAAAGAAATGTGTACTAATGAAAAAGCTGAGCAAACTTTTTTTACAATACCTGCCTGTACCTATACAGCATGTAGTAAAGTCTTTTGAAGTAGTCATGCACATGCACATGCAGATTTCCTATAAACCTATAGTTTAAGAGGTAGAAAAAACAAAACGAAACAGCCGCACATTGTATCTAACTCATGGTCTTCAAAAGAAAAAACACGTACCTTTAAATTTTCAAATACTTCGCCCGAATTCTTTTTCAGAGTTCATATACCTTGTAACCCTTAGGCATGTTCAGAGTTCGGATTTAGCAAGTGCTCGGACAGCGTGAGGCCAACAATACTCATAGGGTAAAGAAAGTACTCCCCTGACGTAAAATGAAAAAAAACAACAACAAATAACTTATTCCATTGATGCCATCGTGTTTACGACAACAACTGGATTTTCTATTCCAGATATTTGACAAACAAAGTCCTTTTGCAAACTAATTGGGGCTTGTTGTTCAGAACTCGGTCAGTGAATATCTTATAGAAACTGTGATACATCGGAGCTTCGTGATAAAACACTTAGTCTGCTAATGATAAAAAAGTTGTGCTGCAAGGAGTGTTCCGAGACTTGTTGGATGTACTACCTATTTGACTTAGAGAAAGTGGCGGCTATCGCGTAATGTTAAACTTCCACTTTGTTTATGTTTAAGGAGTTGAAATACTTTTGATTCGTTTAAGAAAGCACGCAATCTCAGCCAGATATGAATTTCAAGAATCTCTGCATATCGACATTTCAGTTGAATACTTAAAGTTTCCAAATGGCGCTGTACTGGACGAAGCATATAAAGAATACAAAAGAAGTCGTCGTCGGATTAAAGTTTAACAACACATCTGAAAATAACCTGAACTAATAATTTATATTCTCAGTACTGCACTGATATAATCATTGCGTATGATCATTGGTTTCAGGCCATTCAGGTCATTCAGGTCTACAGACGGGTTACCATTGATATGAGCTGTTCTCCGTCACAGTTAGCATAATTTGCCTTCCAAACAGTGATCAGGAAACTGCGGAGTAAATGCATTTGTCAGATGTCAGCGTATTTTGTGGACACAATAGATGGAAAGAGTGCTTCTTCAGTTATACCATACAGAATACCTGAAAACCCACACGGGTATTTTGTGCTTACTTTTTATTCAAAAGCCAAAGATTCCTTTATTTACAATACAAAACAATATTTGCAACAGTTAAAATGTATCGTCTCGCTTCGTATTTTAACCCTTTCCCTCCCAACATATTATCAGTTCTTGAAATTATCGTTCCTACATTTTTATGATTCAAGACTTGAGAATTGGTGTAAAATCATACGATATCCCCTCGTTGATTTTTTGTTACTTCTCATTGGCTTTCTGCTTGCAAATAGATGGAAATTGTAAGGAGAAGTTCAGTTTGGCCACTGATGAGAATGAGACATTTAAACTTTGGCAACTGAGCTTGAGATAGGCGTGCCTCAACAGGATGGCCACTCCAACTGCGACCACTTCATTACATTTATCCTAATGGCACATCTGAAAGCTTTCTTTACATTACATCTAACTTAGCATGGTTCTCGTCCCATAAATGTTCCTTCTTTGCTCAGCAACAGTTTTCTTCCATTTTGCTAGCTTCTCGTCAAAATTTCTCAAACTTCTCGCTCTTCTTCCACGCAATGTTTCTTGTATCTATAAGTGTGAGATTGAGAAATTTCACGTCAGAAGTTTCAACCGAGAATGAGGCTGAGAGGGGAGGTGTACCCGTCAGTTCTAACGCCTAGGGTCACTGACAACTTCAATCTTTCGAAAGCCCACGCCTGCCAATCGATTTCTCATGCCTGTCACAAAACAAACTTTCGGTATAACAGCCTTGACACATTGTCTAAAAATACGTGAAGTGAAATAATAACGAACAATACGAAAAAAGAAGTTTTAATAATTGATCATGATAGGTCTGAAATTTCGAGTGAGCTCAATGCTATAAAGCCTGAAGGTTTCTCGTGAGCTTCCTCATCACTTTTATTTTCTTTTTATTACAACTGTAATTTCAAATATTACCTTAAACTTTAATTTTGACTTTGAAACCTCTGGTTTCAAACTTAAGTGCCCTGAAGAGGAGGTTGTGTCAGAACTATTTTGGGAATGTTGAGGTCCTATTCAAACAATCTTAGGCCTTTGACACAAGGTACAGAAAGAAGGTAGGTAGGTAGATAGGTATGGGTGTGGTTGGTATCGAACGATACACTAGTAAAAATGCTTGCTTGGTAAACAAACTGAGAAAGTACACCTTACCTCATCAGCTGCGACGCTTAACTCAACAGGCTTGCGCTTGGAATCAATGAACAAATACAGCAGGTAAAAACAAAGAATTCCAATTACAACAAGAATGAATATGATCACCACCTGGAGAGAGATACAGAACAAAAAAAAAAGCTGAACAGAAAGAATGGAAGAAATACCAAAATGTAAGTACACTGCAAGTAATTTGCTATGAATATAAATCTGTAGTACAAGAGCCTACTAAAACACCATGGTAGTGGTATTGTAGGATTGGTGCCTTAAAGTAATAAATAATAACAGGGGGCAGCAATACCCTCCACTCCTGCCACAGCCCACCCCAAGGTGTCTGTCTAAACAAAACCTGGAGAACAGTGTGTGAATGAGTACTAACCCAAAAGTAAGAGGAGAGAGGGAGACAAAGCAAGAAAAGCAGCACAGGAAATTGAACAAAAGCACATAACAATGCTCCTGCAAACCACCCTAGGACTCTCTTATAGAGACTTTAGAAACTACAACACTTTATACTTTATTAATACACCTATAATAATGAGTATTGTATTTTTGTTATGATTTTAGAGATGTTAATTTTTTTGTAGTTTGATGTTGGCATAGACAGACATTTCATAGTTCAACATTCAATTTATCATTACCTCTTAATTTTTATGTACAAGTTGTGTACACATACAAGTAGTATCTAGTAAGTTCTGTAAGTTGTATTTTAGATAGAGGGCCACAAGTTTATAAGCTATTTTAACTCTTCAGTGCCACCCTTTTTAAATAAACTGAATAACTATAATTGTTATCATTCTTATTATTATTATTACAATTATTATTATCATCATCATCATTATTATTATTGTATTATCTCACAGGTGAAGTCAATGTATTGACTTGGCTTTAACCTTGCCTACATTTCATTTACCCTCATAATCAGGCCTACTGGCCCTCACCATTATATTTTGTTCTTGAGCTAGACACTCTACTCTCAAAGTACCTTTCTCTGATTCATGAAAGCAAGTCACGTGAAATGTTTTCCAAATGTATTTACCCTCCCTTTAATTCACATTTCCTGTTCTAGGTAAGCATCAGTTAAGTCTTTACCTATTGTTTTCCATGCTGGAGGTTGATCTTTGTCTTACACTTAATTGCATTTGCTGCTCATAAAATTTGAACTCGCCCTGTTTTTAGCTTTTCATGGTTACAGTCACAAGTCCTGTACCATATTACTTATTTGTTTCACGTTTGTATGGTGGGAGAACAACCTCAATGCATCAACATGGCTTTATGGTGAATATCAACTTATATCAGGCTCAGTAACTTTCTTCTTATTAATAAGACATCAGTTCTAATCACATCCCTGAAGGTGAAAGCAATAAACCGTGCAAAGAAATTAATACCAGGGTAGATCAATAAATTACTCTATATTCTTTTCAAGCATTTCCCAATACCAAATAAAGACAAAACAACCACAAAACAGCAGACACATTACCAGTGAGATCACAGCATTCTGAAACACATTACTTATTTGAGCCTCTTCCTT